TCCTCCCCCCGCCCCCCACCCCTCCAGCCACTTATTCCCTCCTCCTTATCTCTTCTCCCTACCTGGTCTTGGAGCACCTCCATTGAAGCAGGCAACTCTCTTTGAAGCTGCTTGAAACTTCCTCTCCCCAAACCCCAGCTGCGCGGGAGCTCTGAGCCTCTGGACAGGGCTCATTAAACAGCTGTGAGGCCATGCTGCTTTCCTCCCCCCGCCCCCCACCCCTCCAGCCACTTATTCCCTCCTCCTTATCTCTTCTCCCTACCTGGTCTTGGAGCACCTCCATTGAAGCAGGCAACTCTCTTTGAAGCTGCTTGAAACTTCCTCTCCCCAAACCCCAGCTGCGCGGGAGCTCTGAGCCTCTGGACAGGGCTCATTAAACAGCTGTGAGGCCATGCTGCTTACAGGGAACCTTGGGTGCAGCCCACCCTGTTCCTTGCCTGAAAGACTGGATGCAGAGGGACACCTTCATCATATTCAGCTGCAATCAACACCCAAAGTTCTCCTGGCTGTGCCAGAGATGATTGCTCCCTGTGCTGCCCTCCCCAGCTCTGGAGGTGCCTGGACCCAGACACTTTGGAACTCTTCTGTCCTCCCTCACTGCAGCGGCACTTCTCCATGTAATGGGGGATGTCCTGGCAATGGTCACCTGGTAGAAGTTGACATGCCTTGGACTTTGGGAGACAGATGCAGCAGAGTTCTCTGGGGTCACTGGACCTTGGATGCTGACAGAGGGAATTCACCAGTCACAGACCTTCGGAGGCACATGTCTCCTGGCATGAGCATTGGGATCAACCTGTCATATTGCTGTGTCGATGTTACAGTTCCTGGGACAGGAGACATGGGCCCCACCATCAGTCCTCAAGATGGATGTCACAGTGTACCAGGAGAGTCCCCCAGGTGTCCAGCCCACATTACTTCTCAAACTCTTTCCTCATCCTGGCACTGGTCTCAAAGCATGAAGTGTGGATCGCTGGGTTCCCAGAGTGGATCCACCAAGTGCTGCTGGTTACCAGTGTCATCAAGGAGTCACTTGTCCTATTCAGACCACGCTTCCTCCAAATATGACCAAGGGCACTGCTACATGGAGAGTCACTGCTCCAACAGATCTTGGCCTAACCATTCAGGATATGGATGTAGTACGAAGCAGGGCTGAATCCTGGTTAGACAGCTTCCCAGGCCTTCAGTGCTGTCTATGTCATTGGCACCGAAACCTGCCCGGGGCCAGCCCCATGTTACTCCTGGATTGCATGGTGGTTCACTCAGCCCTCCCACCCTGCCTATTTGGTGACAGGAGTTTCGGATAGGCCGGTGGCCTTGCCGACCCATCCCCCGCCAGTGCTTGAAGCCTCAAGGGAGAAAACTCACCAACTCCATGTGGATGAAGGGAGTCAAACTACTGGACTGCTAGTGGGCACCATCGATCCCTCGGTATTAGCTTCCTCTTTGTCATTGCCAGATGAGAATATCATAAGGACCCCTCACACCCTTTCTATTCCTCAAGGTGACTAAGGTACACCAGGAACTATTGAAGGGACTTGCTTTCAACCTCAGCCTGCAGGTGGAGGAGATGGCGGAGCAAGAGGACTCCCTGTTTGTTGTCCTTTCTCCCACTGGCCTTCCCCTTCACGAAGAAGTGTCAAATTATCAGTGCTTTATAAAACCCTCCTTTCTGACCCCCTGTTTCCAGACAGGCAGAGTGAAAGTTAAAACTTTAAACCTTGGGCCTTTATGTAACAGGTCTGGAGTGCAAGCAGTTTAAACTGATGCCAGCTTAGGACAAGGGAGTTAGTTGACCATGGCAGGATCCATCACACAGGAAGCCCAAGAGCTACAAGCAGCAGTAGAGGCCCCTGTCTCCTCCCTCCACCCATTCAAGCTTAGCTTCACAAGCAAGGGGCTAAAAAGTTGTTTTGAGGGTATGCCCGAGGATGACATATTGGACCTTTCCCTGAATCCAGTTTTTGCCACTCCCCTTTCCCATTTCCTTCTGGAGTGGTCCCTACGGATACTGTTGAAGGAAAAGCTTTCAGCATTGGTGCATGTGACAAGCACACATGCTTAATGTGGAATGGATCTGAGCAACACATCTTGAGAACCAGTTACAGAACTGGTAACTGTCTTTTATATTTTGTTGGAATCTGTAGAAATACTTTTGAACCTTGATATTCAACTTTTTTTAAAAATCTCTCACCTTTGAGCCTTCACCTCTTCAAAAAAAATTTATATTTAATTTAGCTTGTAAGAACCATAGTTATTGAAGTTCAAGTCTGTCATTTGTTCTATGTCAAAAGAATTGTTATTATTAAAAGAACTTCCTTATCTTTATAGTAGTCTAGATGTTCATAGTAGATGATTGTTCTAAATTTAATTATTGGTCATAAGAGAGTGAAGACTTGTATCTGAATGAAAGGCTGATAAGAAAAACCTGCACATGACTAGAAATATGTAATTTTTAAATATTACTCTAGATATGGGTGTTTTTGTTGTCATAGAGATTGTATAATTGAGTCTTAGATCTTTATTCAGTTATATTTTGGCAGCTACCATAATGACAAAAAAAGCCATATAGAGCTAGCCATGGAGTATTGTCATTTGAGAAATTAACAGTGATGGGATGGGTTTGTACAAGTGCTGATAATGAGAATAAGGATTTTTTTCACAGATTGTAAATCATTTTGGTTATTAATCCATCTCTCTTTATTCAGGGACTAATAAGCTTCAGGAAACAAGTATCAAATTGGAGGAAGTGAAGGTGCAAACAAAATCAGAGCTACGATATGAACAGCCAACCCATGATGTCTCTGGAAATGGCCTAGGGATTTTACTTGACGTACAACCTGTAGGACATGACTATGTGGAAGAGGTAATGCTTAACCACTTTTTTCATATTTCACAAATCATTCGCAAATAAAGCTGTATAATATGAGGCTTTGAAGCTGACATATACGTAAAGCACAGAGTTTTATTTATTTTCAACACTGAGCAATCTGAGAAAAATCACATAGCTGCAGGTTTCATCTGGTGTTGAATTGCTATGGCCCAATTTCACATCTAAATTTGGGCACCCAAATGCAGAATGTAGACAACCTATTAAGGAACCCTTGTCTGAGAATTTTGTGTGTGCCTTGCCTACATAAAGCTAATGAGGCTGTGCCAAAATGTCAAAATGATTTAGTTATATCGAAAATTGATAATCATTAATTACATCTTTAAAATGTTGCCTTGATCTTAAATTCCCAGTTAAGTATAATGAGATTGGAAAATCAAGATTAAATTTTCATCTGTATCATTTCCAGAGAAATGTTGTTTACTTTAGTGTTGTCTTGCTTCTCGTCCTTGCTAAGATTATAAACAAATAAGAGATGAGCAGCGAACAGTGTTTAAAGTTTATGAAACATTTATGTCTGGAGTCATGCCACTGTGAGCAAGGGATGTTAGCATATAGCCATTTACGCGATTAACTGATAAGCCTAGGCTTATCCACAACCCCCCCCCCCCCCCCCCCCACTGCCTCTATATCAGAGGCAGCAGGAGAAGGGAGCTGGCTTAAAGCTGTCTCCCTGCGTGTGCTGGTTCCCGCAGAGCTGCCTGCACCTCCCACCCCTGTGCTGCTGCCTCTAATAGAGAGGCAGCAGTAGAGGTTGAGGGGGAAAGACAGGATCCAGTACACATGGGAAGCCAGCTCCTCACGTGGATCGGCTCCCATTGAGGCAGCAGGCTGGAGCCAGTCTGCATAGAGAGCCGACATTTAAATCCGCTCTCTTCGTGGGCTGCCTCCGCCTGCCGTCCCACGTAGCTGCTTCTGATAGAGAGGCAGCAGCATGGAGTGGCAGGGGGGGTTCCCCAGGAGCGGGGCCAGGAGAGCACTGGCTGCTAGCCCTACCCCAGGAAGTATTTTAGGAACTGTGTGACTGCTAAGAGTTATTGTGACTACATGATTAGTAAAATACACAATATCTCACATCCATACTGTTAGCTAATAGTTGAGACTCAGAACCTGAGAATCATGAGCTAGCAAAAGTTGAGAACATCTTGGTGCTGCAAGAAGTGGTGGCGGTGGTGCTAGTCACAACTGAATAGATGATGCTCTTTATTTTGAGTCATTTCTGTACCAAAATCCTGGCATGGTGCTAAGGTGTATTGTGCAGATGGAGAGTCCAACTCTGGACTATGTTACTGAAGCTTCAGGGGCTAGCTAAGTTAGTCTGTACAGGACCATTATTTTGGTCGTAGACATCCAACACTGTGGTCATCTGAAGAAGTGGGCTGTGCCCAGGAAAGCTCATGATACCATCTACATGTTTTGTTAATCTTCAAAGTGCTAACAGACTATTTGTTGTGTTACTGAAAGTTGTTATGATGCTTTTCATAAGTATTAAACCTAATGTTCTTTTTACGATGCATTAAACTGTAGGGCTGTGTCTACAGCCGGAAAAGGGATGCTAATGAGACTAGTCGGAATTGCAAATGCCGCGGGGGATTTAAATATTTAAATATCCCCTGCTTCATTTGTATAAACATGGCTTCCGCTTTTTTCCGGCTCGGGGCTTTGCTGGAGAAAAGCGCCGGTCTAGACGGGATCTTTCGGAAAACAAAGCCTTTTCCGGAAGATCCCTTATTCCTGATTTTAAGATGAATAAGGGATCTTCTGGAAAAGGCTTTATTTTCCGCAAGATCCCGTCTAGACTGGTGCTTTTCTCCGGCAAAACCCCGAGCCGGAAAAAAGCGGCAGTCATGTACATGCAAATGCCGCGGGGGATATTTAAATCCCCCGCGGCATTTGCAATTCCGAATGGTCTCATTAGCATCCCTTTTCCAGAAAAGGGTGCCAATGTAGACAAAGCCTAGATGAAATTTAGGGAGTCCCAGAATAAACATGTATAAAAGCGGGTATTGTATCTTCTCTTTCAGTCCTAAACAGCTATGCAGTGTCACCGTGAACTATTAAATAGATTGTGCGTGTCACCCAAAAGTTGACTGAGTTTCAGTGATGGATAAATGCATATACTTTAAACTTTGTAAAGTGCTTTAGGACCCACTGTGATGTAAGGCTCTTCTTAAATGCAAGATAATTTTGTTATTGTCACCAACAGTGCCTATAAATATTAAATCATATATTTTGTCTCAGGTATGCAATGATGAAGGAAAAATGATCCGGTTTCACTGTAAGCTCTGCGAGTGCAGTTTCAATGATCCTAATGCAAAGGACATGCATCTGAAGGGGCGTAGGCATCGGCTGCAGTACAAGGTGTGAATGGGGACATCCTTTCAGGATGCTGAACCAAAGGGACTTGGATAGTACTGGCCTCAGTCTCAACTCCTAAAATAGAAGGGAGAGAAATCCATTAGTTTATTTTGTAAAGAGTTTTTCCTAAATATAAGGATTCTCACTGGTGTGAAAACAAATAGGATGAATCCAGAAAAATTCTTGCAAATATTTTTTCCCACTGCTTGTTCACTTCCACATCTCAGATATTACTGTATTTAGTGTGTATATATATATTTAATTTTTTCATAAAAATATAAAGGAAACTACCGTAGGTGTTTGGTGCAAATAACTTAATGAAAGTGGTAACTGATTTGAGTAGATTTTGTTATAGGAAATAAATGCTTTCTAGTATCTTATAGGCACTTAGCAAATAGTCTGCAATTCAAAACTATTGTAAAATGAAATCAGTTTTGCATGTCTGAATGAAGATTTTCAAAACACAACTTTGACCATTTGTTTTGTATTTCATTTGGATGGAATTCTTTCTTTCCAAGGCTACGTCTAGACTGCAAGCCTCTTTTGAAAAAGAGCGTCTAGACTACAACCAGTACTTTCGAAAAAGCACAGTTTGCATTACATAGCTCCTTTTTTCATAAGAGCACTTTTGAAAAAAAGCATTATTCCTTGTAAAACGAGGTTTTCTGCGGTTGAAAAAACTGCTGCATTCTTTCGATTTACTTTTGAAAGAACATGGCAGCAGTCTAGACACCGGGGAAGTTTTTTCGAAAAAAAGCCACTTTTTTTTTAGAAACACCCCCCTTCCCTTCTCCCCCCCCCGTAGTCTAGACACACCCTAAAAGAATAAAATCATGTTGTGTGAAGACAGGTTAAATTACCAATTCAGCTTTTTCTGAGACATCTTGCTAGAATGTTAACTTTAGAAAAAAACATTCCAAATATTTATTTTTCAATTAGTAAATAGTTATACAATAATTTCTGAGGACTATCCAGTAGAACTAAACTTAGTCCCTTTCCCTTCCCCAGTTCTAATAATTTCTTGAAGAGAGTAGCCATACCATCTCTTTTCCAAAGCACTTATCAAGAATGAGTCTCTATTTCTGCCTTTAAGTGGGGCGGTAGACCACTTAAACATCTTTTTACAGTGAATATTGCAGTTCAGGCCCCTGAAACAGTGTGGCCAACAGTTTGCAGCTTCCCAGAACTAATTCAAAATGGACTGATTGATAGCAAAATTAATCTTGCATTATTAATGTGAAGCCCATGCTGTTGCACAGGTCACAAAGAATTGAATCCATCAAACTCAGTCGGACTTTGTCAATTCAAGTCTCAGTGAATATAGTCACTATGGAAGAGTTCATCTTTTCCATTTAACTTTTCTTGCATTGGTTGATCTTAAAATTGCATATAAGCACTGATTGGTAAAGTTCTGTTTTCAGAGTACTTCTAGCGGCACAAAGCATTTCACAAGCACTATGTCACAATACGTTAGGGGTGTCAAACACTAGTTAAATCCAGCATAGATTTAACCTAAAACACTTATTTTAAAATTCTTAGATTAAAACCTCCTTAGGTCCTCTTTCAACAGGAGTTGGTCTTTTTGGATGGAAAAGCATATTTGGCTATTGACCAATATGGAGAATATTTTATCATGTGGGACCTGTTCCAGCGCCTGTTGAAATTAAGTTTTCTTGGAAGCAGGATTAGGCTTTTTAGAACATTACCACCTCAGTGTGTCATTCCATCACACACAAACTGTTTGTTTTGGAAATTTGTTTGAGCTTGTCAAGTCCAGAATTGGCCACAACCAATATTTTGAAATAAATTAGCAAGGTATTCAAAAAGGAGCCAGATCAATTCATAGACTCATAGATTTTATGGTCAGAAGGGACCATTATGATCCCCCATTTATGATTCATGGAGAATCATAGAATACTAGACCTGTAAGGGACCTTGAGAGGTCATCAAGTCCAGTCCCCTGCCCTCATGGCAGGACCAAGCACCATTTAGATTAACCTGCTTTTAAATCTCTGGTATGGAGATTCCACAACCTCCCTAAGCAATTTATTCCAGTGTTTAACCACCCTGACAGTAAGTTTTTCCTAATATCCAACCAAAACCTCCCTTGCTGCAGTTTAAGCCCATTGCTTCTTGTCCTATCATCAGAGGCCAAGGAGAACACATTTTTCCCCTCCTTCTTGTAACATCCTTTTAGATACTTGAAAACTGCTATCATGTCACCTCTCGGTCTTCTAAACTAAATAAATCCAGTTCTTCCAGTCTTCTCTCATAGGTCATGTTTTCTAGACTTTAATAATTTTTGTTGCTCTTCTCTGGACCTTCCCCAATTTTTCCACATCTTTCTTGTAATGTGGAGCCCAGAACTGGACACGGTACTCCAACTGAGGCCTAATCAATGCAGAGTAGAGCGGAAGAATGCCTTCTCATGTCTTGCTCACAAATCAGGGGCGGCCCTAGTTTAGCTGCCAGCAACGGGCACCTGAGGCGAACCATGCAATCGGTGCCTCCACCTCCAAACCCCTCAATGATATTGTGCCACCATTTGGCGCCCCATTTAACTTGGCGCCCTAAGCGACCGCCTAGTTTGCTATATGGACGGGCCGCACCTGCTCACAATACTCCTGCTAATGCATCCCAGAATCATGTTTTTCTTTTTTTGCAACAGTGTCACACTGTTGACTCATATTTAGCTTGTGGTGTACTCTGACCCCTATATCCCTTTCAGTAGTACTCCTTCCAAGACAGTCACCTCCTATTCTGTATGTGTGGAACTGATTGTTCCTTCCTAAGTAGAGTACTTTGCATTTGTCCTTATTAAACTTCATCCTATTCAGATCATTTCTCCAGTTTGTCCAGATGATTTTAATTATTACCCTATCCTCCAAAGCACTTGCAACCCCTCCCAGATTGGTATCATTTGCAAACTTAATAAGCATACTCCCTATGCCATCATCTAAATCGTTGATGAAGATATTGAACAAAACCAGTCCCAAAATAGCTGTGGATCCCCACTTGTTATGCCCTTCTGTCAGCCGATGGTCAGGCCAGTGTGTGTGACTGAACCATTAATAACTCTCTGAGAATGGTTATCCAACCAGTTATGCACCCATCTAGGTTGTATTTCCCTAGTTTATTGGTAAGGTCATGCAAGTCCATATCAAATGCTTTACTGAAGTCTAGGTATATCATGTCCACCACTTTCTCCTTATCCACAAGACTTGTTATCCTGTCAAAGAAAGCTATCAGATTGGTTTGACATGATTTGCTTCTTTACAGATCCATGCTGACTGTTCCGTATCACCTTATTATGTTCCCTATGTTTGCAGATTAATTTCTTAATTATTTGCTTCATTATCTTCCTGACACAGAAGTTAAGCTGACTGATCTGTAGTTTCCTGGGTTCTTATTTTCCAGTTTATAGATGAGCACTATATTTGCCCTTTTCCAGTCTTCTGGAATCTCTCCCGACTTTCATGACTTCTCAAAGATGAAAGGTAATGGCTCAGATACCTCCTTTATCAGCTCCTTGAGTATTCTAAGATGCATTTCATCAGGCCCGGGTGACTTGAAGACATCTGTCTTTTCTAAGTAATCTTTAACTTGATCTTTTCCTATTTTAACTTCTAAATCTACCCCATTTCCACTAGTATTCACTATGGGTACGTCTACACTACAGCACTATTTCAAAATAACTAGCGCTATTCTAAAATAACTTAGTTCACGTCTACACAGCAGGCAATTATTTTGAAATAGTGTCAAAATACTGTCAAGCTGGAGGACTTCTTATTCCGACTCCTGTAACCCTCATTGTACAAGGAGTGAGGGAAGTTGGAGGAAGAGTGCTCTATTTTGAAATAAGTGCTGTGTTAGACACTCCCTTTTTTAAAATAAGCTATTTCGAAATAATATACGCAATTGACGTAGCTCAGTTTGCGTAGCTCATTTCGAGTTAAGCTCTGCAGTGTATATGCACTGTGTTAGGCATCCAGTCATTATCAATCTTGTTTGGTAAAAATCGAAATGAAGTTGTTAAACACCTCTGCCATTTCCAGGTTTCCTGTTACTGTTTTTCCTTCTTTGCTGAGCAATGGGCCCCCACCCTATCCTTGGTCATCCTGTTGCTTCTAATATATTTGTAGAATATTTTCTTGTTAGCCCTTATGTCTCTAGCTAGATTGATTTAGTTTTGTGCCTTCACCTTTCTAATCTTGCCCCTACATACTTGCTTTATTTGCTTTTATTCATCCTTTGTAATTTGACCTAGTTTCCACTTTCTATACTACTCCTTTTTGAGTTTTAGATCATGCAGGATCTCCTGGTTAAGCCAAGGTTGTCTCTTGCCATACTTTCTATCTTTCCTATGCAGTGTAATGGTATGCTTTTGGTCCTTTAATGATGTCCCTTTGAAAAACTGCCAACTGTCCTCGGTTGTTTTTTCTTAGTCTTGCTTCCCATGGGACCTTACCTACCAGCTCTCTGAGTTTACTAAAATCTGCCTTCCTGAAATCCATCTATTTTGCTGTTCTCCCTTCTACCATTCCTTAGAATCATGAACTCTATGATTTCATGATCACTTTCACCCAAGCTACCACTTGCAAATTTTTAACCAGTTCCTCCCTATTTGTTAAAATCAAATCTAGAACTGCTTCTCCCCCAGTAGCTTTCTCTACCTTCTGAAATAAAAAATTGTCTCCAATGCAATCCAGGATGTTGTTGGATAATCTGTGCCATGCTGTGTTAGTTTCCCAACATATGTCTGAATAGTTGAGGTCCCGCCATTAGCACCAAATCCTATGCATTGAATGCTTTTGCTAGTTTAAGATAAAGCCTCATCCACCTCTTCTGCCTGGGTAGATGGTCTGTAGTAGACCCCTATTTTAACCTAACCCAGAGACTCTCAACAAGTCTGTCTCCTATGTTAATCTCGCCCTCAGTCCAAGAGTGTACATTTTTAATATATAAGGCAACACCTCCCTTTTTTCCCTGCCTATCTTTCCTGAGCAAGCTGTACCCTTCTATACCAGTATTCCAATAGTGTGTGTTATCCCACCAAGTTTCAGTGATACCAATGATGTGGTAGTTGTGTTTATTTACTAGCACTTGAAGTTCTTCTTGCTTATTCCCCATACTTCTTGCATTTGTATACAGACATTTAAGATATTGATTGGGTTTCTCCTACCACCACCCAGTTCTTCCTTGTCCCTCCTTTAGCTCTGCTATTATAGCACATGAATGAGTAGCATAGGGTGGTAGTCAAAGGGCCGGATAATCTCGACAGTCCCACTGTAACATCTCGAATACAGGCCCCTGACAGGCAGCATATGTCCTAAGATGTCAGGGCAACAGAGGGGCACCTCCATCCCCTCAAAAGAGTCTCCAACCACCACTACCCTATGTTTCCTCTTCACAGTGGTGGCTGCAGACGTCCCACCTTTGGGGGTAGATGGCTTCTTCTCTTCTGCCTTGGGGGGTGATTCCTTCTCTCCTGTATCTAGAGCAGCATAGAGATTCACCAGAGCCAAGGTGGGAGTGCTGGGAGAAAGGGTGGAGCACTGCCTGCTGCCAGAATTAACCAGCTTCCAGTGTCCCCCCGAGACAGAGCCGTCTACTCCTCCACCAGTGGTTGCTAGCAGAATAGGTCTGTCAATGGCTATTAGCCAGGATAGGCAAGAATGATGTCCCTGCAATAATTTTTGCAACGGGGCCACTTCACAAATTTTGGTACATGGTCATGGACTGGCTCCAAGCCCCTGAAAGGGGCGGGGCCTCAGGTGAAAGGAGTGGGGTTACAGAGAGTGTGTGTGTGTGTGTGTGTGAAAGAGAAACACAGAGAGAGACAAATTTTGTGACACATTGAGTATGTATGACAGTGATGGGAGAATGTGTGCAGCAGTGTATGTGACAATGATTGTGTGTTTGTGGCATAGAGATAGTGTGGCACAGACTGGGTATGTGTGGCAGTGACACTGGGTATGTGTGGCAGTGACACAGAGTGTGTGTGCACTAGCTAAGTTTCTGAAAGAATCCTAGAATCCATAGAATACTAGGACTGGAAGGCACCTCGAGAGGTCATCGAGTCCAGTCCCCACTGTCTCTTGAAGGGAAATCTGTGCTGCTCTGTTATCTCCCCCCACCTTTGTTCTGCACTCCTCTGAGTCACATGCTTCAGATTAGAGCAGCTCTGCTGACTCTGTGTCTGTCTATGACCCCTGCTTGGCAGAGGTGGGGTATTGGGGAAGGGGACACCCTGACTTCAGTACTCCCTTCCCTGCTCCCCCCTGCACAGCTAGCAAGAGAGTCCTGGAAGTAGTTCCGTTGCAGGACAGAGGAAGGTGGGGGTAAGAGGCAACCGTACACACACTGCAGGTGCTGTTGCCTTTGGCTGTAAGTATGCACCTCTGCTGATCAGCTGGGTGGGCTGGATTTGCCCCTCAGGCTTGAGTTTGCCCCGCCTCTTTCAGTAGCTGGGAATGGGAGACAATGTTTTGAGGATAACCTGTTCATTCTCTGTGGGGAACCTGGCATTGGCCAGTGTCAGAAGACAGGATACTAGACTAGATGGACTTTGGATCTGACTCAGTATAGCTGTTCTATTGAAGCCTACACAGAATAAAAATATTCTGCCTTTTTATTTGAAAGTAATGAGCAGATTGTTCATTTCCATTGACTGTAAGATTTAGAAACTTTTTAAAAGCTATGAGATGGGAGAAAAAACATTTTTTGCTGCCTAGCCACTTTATTCTGTTTTCAGTTGTTCATGCTTCAATCAGTCATGACCCTTTTCATGAGAATATGAGTTCTATTTGCTAAGTGTTTACCTGTGCCTGCTACTTGTTCTGCAACTCAAGTTACCATTTTTTTAGGATCAAAGGGGTAGCCTTATTGGTCTGTATCTTCAAAAAAAAGTGTTTTTGTACTTGTATTGGTAGCATCTTTTCCACACCAGCAAATGCAGCATTACAACATTTCCATAGCAACCAAATGTCTGTAAACAGCATTGATTTAAGGTGAGAAAAAAGCAGCAGAAATGAATTCTTAAAGAACTGATGTCCCATATTCAATCAGATATTCCTCATTTATATGAGACTGCATTAATATGAAGTCAGATTAGAATTATTCTCAGAATATTGAAATGTATTTAACATCCCTTGGTTAGGCCTTTGAATATCACTTTTGAAATATCTCAGCTTCTGGTCTTCTGTTTATGTGAAGTTGGAGATTGGTCCCAGATTTTCAAAGCTGGGTATTTTCATTTTGGATTCCTTATTTAAGACTCCTTAGGCCTGATTTTCAGAGGTGCTAGGTACCCATAAACTCCAGTTTACTTCATTGGCAGTTGTGGATACTCATCTCTGAAAATTCAGCCACTTTTAGGCATCTAAGTTTTAAAATCTTTCTCTTAGATTGTATTCTCTGTCTTAAACCTGTTTTGGATAGGTCTTTTTGGCAGTTGGAATAGTTTTCAAAGAGACTTCCTTGTTCTGGAAATAGGGACTTAAGCGTGTGGTGTAGCTGTCGATGTCTACTTCTCTTAATTAGTAAATGGTAATAAAATGGTAATAATTATTCTTAAACAAAATTATCTTAAATAAAATGCCACCAAATATTTAAAAACCAAGTGTAATGTCAATAACACTGATGTAATCATAAGACTACAGTAGTAGACTTTTTGAATATTGATACTCTACTAGCTTTGTGATGATGCTTTTAAGATTTCTCTAAAATGTGTTGTAACATTTTGTAGAAGAAAGTAAACCCAGACCTACCAGTTGAGATCAAGCCCAGTAACCGAGCTCGGAAAATGCACGAGGAGAAGATGAAAAAGCAGAAACAGAAGGATATGATAAAGAGACACAGAGATGAAAACCAGCGTTGGCACATGGAAATGAGGCGAGATCATTTTCACAAAAATGTGGATTTTATGGGGTGTTGCACAATTCATACCTTTTTGTTAATTCACACCATCCTTTGAGTTTTGCTGGTGCACAGGTTTTCAGTCATAATCTTGAAGCTGGTCACAGATCTGTCCTCCTCCTTTGTCTGTGCAAATGCTTACTTATCAACATGAATGTTTTCTCCGTGAGATGCCAGAAAAAAGCATGTGTTGACTTCTGTTCTGTCACTGCTGGAAAAGGATTCTGGGCATATTTGAGGAAAACAGTGTGAATGGCTGAATAGGTGAAGTAACTGACTTGGTGCAGTTGTAGGAAGTAAAAGGTTGAAAAGACCTGCCATAGTAGAAAAACTTAAGGCCTGACAGGAATCTAAAATCCTTTAGAGCAGTATCATTGAAGACCATGGCTTCTACATAGGGAAAGTGAAACCATTTGTGTTGTCCTCTTCTCACTGTCCGGTACTTTAACCTTTCTGTGACTGAACAGCATTGGAAGGGGAGGATGTAGGCCTGTTTTTGCCGTAAACTGTGTGAAAGTAATGTTACGTTGACTGAATTGCATGATGGCTCATATTTTGCACTCACTTTTGTGGAGCGGGGGTTTTTAGACTTTTTTTCCCCTGAGGCCCACCTGTGCACTATGGCTCCCTATTAACACTCAACCAATAAAAAGAGAGGCCTCCTGTGGGGCATGTCCAGCCCCTGCACTTCAGCAGGGCCAAGGGCCAGTGAGAGGGTAAACTGGCCAGGCAGATACCAGAGCCAATCCCCATTGACACCCTCTCCCTCAGCAGACCACTAAGTGCCTTATGCTTGTTACCTGGTAGCCCAAGCCCAGTCATCCATCCAACATCTAACATGCCTCATAGGCACCCAGAACTGGACTTAGGGAAAATGGCACCATGGGCAAGATTGTATTTTCATTCTTCCGGCCCCTGCCCCTATTGCTTCTCTTGCTTCCCTCTATTGCCCCAAGCTCCTTTTGCATGGCCTCACACCCCAGGCCTACCTCATTCCTTACCTCATGACCATGCGTGGCTGGAAAATGGTATCTCTTTGTTTTCCTTCGAGTGGTGTCTGTGTGATGCTCCACTCAGGTCTCGGTGAATCCTCGTGCCACTGATTGGAGATTTTGCCTAGAAGTGCCTTCGTATCCTATGCATGCGCATCTCGTGCTGTTTTAGTCCATTAGATGTGCGCGGAGCGATCTTCCGTCAGTTCCTTTTCTGCCGTCTTCGGTTGAAGATGGAGTCACAGCAATGTTTTTCTTTCTGACAGAAAACTGAAAAATAGTATAGTTAGTTTACCAGTTATTAATAGTTTTAGTCAGTGTAAGGGTAGTTTCACGTAGTTCTTTAAAAACAAAAAACAAAACAAAAAAAGCTTCCCCATTTTTTTCCACTTCTACTCTGGTTTTTCTCCAAGTTCTGATTCCTCACGTTTGTTTAACATGTCAGGCTCTCTCCTGGCTTCAAGAAATGTGATTCATGTCCGGACTCAGTGTTGATTTCTGATGGACACGCACCCTGTATTCAGTGCCTGGGCGAAAGCCACATAGTGCAAAAGTGCCCGCATTGTCAAAACATAACGGCCAGCGTGAAGAAAGACCGCAAAATAAGGCTGAAGAACCTTCTCTGGGAGAAATCCCTCCAACTACTGGGGGATAAGTCCCCAGGCATATAGGCACACTTAGCACCCCATGAAAGGGCTAGTTCATCACCTCACAGGGGCTCTCAAGTGCCACAGGCTTCCCCAGCATGATCACTGCTCACTACGTCCCAGGCTGCCCATTTCCTGGTGTCGTCCACTTCTCGCTCCACGGAGGAGTGAAGACCGACCTTAGTTAACGGAGCTGAGTCGGAACCAAGACAGTCAGCACCCACCAATGCAGCTAACTAGCCGCACCAACAAAACGGGATATGCCAGCACCCACAGGCATCCCGGCACTGATTGAGCAAGCTGGTTACCGGCAGACAGACTTAAAGCGTGTTCCAGCACCAGAACATAAGAAAGCAGCTAAAAAGCCCCACAGTCGGGCACACTATCTCCACCAGTGCATTCACCACACTCCCCAATATTACCTCACTCTAGCAGCCCATGTAGACAAAATGTAGAAGCTTTTTCTCACTTTCCCACACCATTCTCACCATGAAATGAATGTGGCAGCCGGCAGAGGAGTAGATTTTCATCACATCACTCATCCCCAACGGGATCAGTGGCTTCATGGCACTCCACTCAACACCATCCTTTTCAACAGCCCCCACAACTTCTGTGGCTTAACTACCCATAGTAATATCCACCGAAACAGCTTCAACCTCAGTGGCCTTTTTGGGAGCCATGGCACCAATATCGCCACCGCTCATGAGATACACTAGTCTCTACACCAGTGCATACAGCTACATGGTCTCCAGCCACCACAGCACATTCGTCCCTTCTAATGCCCATTCCTCAGTAACAACCCAGGCAGATCTAGCACATGATGATGAGAACTTACCTCAATACAATTCAGAAAGCTCTTCACAGGTCCCGCAGTCTTCCACTGTTTCAGATGAGGCAGTTTTTCAAGTATTTCCCTCTCCACCAGTAGACAACCTAAACGAATTTCAAGAATTATTCAGACGAGTGGCTCAGTCTCAGGACACTACTCTCCAAGAAGTGCAAGACAAACAATATAAATTACTCAAAATATTCCAACTAGCTACATCCTCAAAAATAGCATTACCCATCAATGAGGCTATCATGGAGCCATCGGATGTATTCTGGCAGATGCCAGACTCTATGCCCCCCACCAATCGCAGGGCGGACAGAAAATACTTTGTCCCTGCAAGAGGGATGGAAGTGGGGTTACAGAGAGTGTGTGTGTGTGTGTGTGTGAAAGAGAAACACAGAGAGAGACAAATTTTGTGACACATTGAGTATGTATGACAGTGATGGGAGAATGTGTGCAGCAGTGTATGTGACAATGATTGTGTGTTTGTGGCATAGAGATAGTGTGGCACAGACTGGGTATGTGTGGCAGTGACACTGGGTATGTGTGGCAGTGACACAGAGTGTGTGTGCACTAGCTAAGTTTCTGAAAGAATCCTAGAATCCATAGAATACTAGGACTGGAAGGCACCTCGAGAGGTCATCGAGTCCAGTCCCCACTGTCTCTTGAAGGGAAATCTGTGCTGCTCTGTTATCTCCCCCCACCTTTGTTCTGCACTCCTCTGAGTCACATGCTTCAGATTAGAGCAGCTCTGCTGACTCTGTGTCTGTCTATGACCCCTGCTTGGCAGAGGTGGGGTATTGGGGAAGGGGACACCCTGACTTCAGTACTCCCTTCCCTGCTCCCCCCTGCACAGCTAGCAAGAGAGTCCTGGAAGTAGTTCCGTTGCAGGACAGAGGAAGGTGGGGGTAAGAGGCAACCGTACACACACTGCAGGTGCTGTTGCCTTTGGCTGTAAGTATGCACCTCTGCTGATCAGCTGGGTGGGCTGGATTTGCCCCTCAGGCTTGAGTTTGCCCCGCCTCTTTCAGTAGCTGGGAATGGGAGACAATGTTTTGAGGATAACCTGTTCATTCTCTGTGGGGAACCTGGCATTGGCCAGTGTCAGAAGACAGGATACTAGACTAGATGGACTTTGGATCTGACTCAGTATAGCTGTTCTATTGAAGCCTACACAGAATAAAAATATTCTGCCTTTTTATTTGAAAGTAATGAGCAGATTGTTCATTTCCATTGACTGTAAGATTTAGAAACTTTTTAAAAGCTATGAGATGGGAGAAAAAACATTTTTTGCTGCCTAGCCACTTTATTCTGTTTTCAGTTGTTCATGCTTCAATCAGTCATGACCCTTTTCATGAGAATATGAGTTCTATTTGCTAAGTGTTTACCTGTGCCTGCTACTTGTTCTGCAACTCAAGTTACCATTTTTTTAGGATCAAAGGGGTAGCCTTATTGGTCTGTATCTTCAAAAAAAAGTGTTTTTGTACTTGTATTGGTAGCATCTTTTCCACACCAGCAAATGCAGCATTACAACATTTCCATAGCAACCAAATGTCTGTAAACAGCATTGATTTAAGGTGAGAAAAAAGCAGCAGAAATGAATTCTTAAAGAACTGATGTCCCATATTCAATCAGATATTCCTCATTTATATGAGACTGCATTAATATGAAGTCAGATTAGAATTATTCTCAGAATATTGAAATGTATTTAACATCCCTTGGTTAGGCCTTTGAATATCACTTTTGAAATATCTCAGCTTCTGGTCTTCTGTTTATGTGAAGTTGGAGATTGGTCCCAGATTTTCAAAGCTGGGTATTTTCATTTTGGATTCCTTATTTAAGACTCCTTAGGCCTGATTTTCAGAGGTGCTAGGTACCCATAAACTCCAGTTTACTTCATTGGCAGTTGTGGATACTCATCTCTGAAAATTCAGCCACTTTTAGGCATCTAAGTTTTAAAATCTTTCTCTTAGATTGTATTCTCTGTCTTAAACCTGTTTTGGATAGGTCTTTTTGGCAGTTGGAATAGTTTTCAAAGAGACTTCCTTGTTCTGGAAATAGGGACTTAAGCGTGTGGTGTAGCTGTCGATGTCTACTTCTCTTAATTAGTAAATGGTAATAAAATGGTAATAATTATTCTTAAACAAAATTATCTTAAATAAAATGCCACCAAATATTTAAAAACCAAGTGTAATGTCAATAACACTGATGTAATCATAAGACTACAGTAGTAGACTTTTTGAATATTGATACTCTACTAGCTTTGTGATGATGCTTTTAAGATTTCTCTAAAATGTGTTGTAACATTTTGTAGAAGAAAGTAAACCCAGACCTACCAGTTGAGATCAAGCCCAGTAACCGAGCTCGGAAAATGCACGAGGAGAAGATGAAAAAGCAGAAACAGAAGGATATGATAAAGAGACACAGAGATGAAAACCAGCGTTGGCACATGGAAATGAGGCGAGATCATTTTCACAAAAATGTGGATTTTATGGGGTGTTGCACAATTCATACCTTTTTGTTAATTCACACCATCCTTTGAGTTTTGCTGGTGCACAGGTTTTCAGTCATAATCTTGAAGCTGGTCACAGATCTGTCCTCCTCCTTTGTCTGTGCAAATGCTTACTTATCAACATGAATGTTTTCTCCGTGAGATGCCAGAAAAAAGCATGTGTTGACTTCTGTTCTGTCACTGCTGGAAAAGGATTCTGGGCATATTTGAGGAAAACAGTGTGAATGGCTGAATAGGTGAAGTAACTGACTTGGTGCAGTTGTAGGAAGTAAAAGGTTGAAAAGACCTGCCATAGTAGAAAAACTTAAGGCCTGACAGGAATCTAAAATCCTTTAGAGCAGTATCATTGAAGACCATGGCTTCTACATAGGGAAAGTGAAACCATTTGTGTTGTCCTCTTCTCACTGTCCGGTACTTTAACCTTTCTGTGACTGAACAGCATTGGAAGGGGAGGATGTAGGCCTGTTTTTGCCGTAAACTGTGTGAAAGTAATGTTACGTTGACTGAATTGCATGATGGCTCATATTTTGCACTCACTTTTGTGGAGCGGGGGTTTTTAGACTTTTTTTCCCCTGAGGCCCACCTGTGCACTATGGCTCCCTATTAACACTCAACCAATAAAAAGAGAGGCCTCCTGTGGGGCATGTCCAGCCCCTGCACTTCAGCAGGGCCAAGGGCCAGTGAGAGGGTAAACTGGCCAGGCAGATACCAGAGCCAATCCCCATTGACACCCTCTCCCTCAGCAGACCACTAAGTGCCTTATGCTTGTTACCTGGTAGCCCAAGCCCAGTCATCCATCCAACATCTAACATGCCTCATAGGCACCCAGAACTGGACTTAGGGAAAATGGCACCATGGGCAAGATTGTATTTTCATTCTTCCGGCCCCTGCCCCTATTGCTTCTCTTGCTTCCCTCTATTGCCCCAAGCTCCTTTTGCATGGCCTCACACCCCAGGCCTACCTCATTCCTTACCTCATGACCATGCGTGGCTGGAAAATGGTATCTCTTTGTTTTCCTTCGAGTGGTGTCTGTGTGATGCTCCACTCAGGTCTCGGTGAATCCTCGTGCCACTGATTGGAGATTTTGCCTAGAAGTGCCTTCGTATCCTATGCATGCGCATCTCGTGCTGTTTTAGTCCATTAGATGTGCGCGGAGCGATCTTCCGTCAGTTCCTTTTCTGCCGTCTTCGGTTGAAGATGGAGTCACAGCAATGTTTTTCTTTCTGACAGAAAACTGAAAAATAGTATAGTTAGTTTACCAGTTATTAATAGTTTTAGTCAGTGTAAGGGTAGTTTCACGTAGTTCTTTAAAAACAAAAAACAAAACAAAAAAAGCTTCCCCATTTTTTTCCACTTCTACTCTGGTTTTTCTCCAAGTTCTGATTCCTCACGTTTGTTTAACATGTCAGGCTCTCTCCTGGCTTCAAGAAATGTGATTCATGTCCGGACTCAGTGTTGATTTCTGATGGACACGCACCCTGTATTCAGTGCCTGGGCGAAAGCCACATAGTGCAAAAGTGCCCGCATTGTCAAAACATAACGGCCAGCGTGAAGAAAGACCGCAAAATAAGGCTGAAGAACCTTCTCTGGGAGAAATCCCTCCAACTACTGGGGGATAAGTCCCCAGGCATATAGGCACACTTAGCACCCCATGAAAGGGCTAGTTCATCACCTCACAGGGGCTCTCAAGTGCCACAGGCTTCCCCAGCATGATCACTGCTCACTACGTCCCAGGCTGCCCATTTCCTGGTGTCGTCCACTTCTCGCTCCACGGAGGAGTGAAGACCGACCTTAGTTAACGGAGCTGAGTCGGAACCAAGACAGTCAGCACCCACCAATGCAGCTAACTAGCCGCACCAACAAAACGGGATATGCCAGCACCCACAGGCATCCCGGCACTGATTGAGCAAGCTGGTTACCGGCAGACAGACTTAAAGCGTGTTCCAGCACCAGAACATAAGAAAGCAGCTAAAAAGCCCCACAGTCGGGCACACTATCTCCACCAGTGCATTCACCACACTCCCCAATATTACCTCACTCTAGCAGCCCATGTAGACAAAATGTAGAAGCTTTTTCTCACTTTCCCACACCATTCTCACCATGAAATGAATGTGGCAGCCGGCAGAGGAGTAGATTTTCATCACATCACTCATCCCCAACGGGATCAGTGGCTTCATGGCACTCCACTCAACACCATCCTTTTCAACAGCCCCCACAACTTCTGTGGCTTAACTACCCATAGTAATATCCACCGAAACAGCTTCAACCTCAGTGGCCTTTTTGGGAGCCATGGCACCAATATCGCCACCGCTCATGAGATACACTAGTCTCTACACCAGTGCATACAGCTACATGGTCTCCAGCCACCACAGCACATTCGTCCCTTCTAATGCCCATTCCTCAGTAACAACCCAGGCAGATCTAGCACATGATGATGAGAACTTACCTCAATACAATTCAGAAAGCTCTTCACAGGTCCCGCAGTCTTCCACTGTTTCAGATGAGGCAGTTTTTCAAGTATTTCCCTCTCCACCAGTAGACAACCTAAACGAATTTCAAGAATTATTCAGACGAGTGGCTCAGTCTCAGGACACTACTCTCCAAGAAGTGCAAGACAAACAATATAAATTACTCAAAATATTCCAACTAGCTACATCCTCAAAAATAGCATTACCCATCAATGAGGCTATCATGGAGCCATCGGATGTATTCTGGCAGATGCCAGACTCTATGCCCCCCACCAATCGCAGGGCGGACAGAAAATACTTTGTCCCTGCAAGAGGGATGGATTTCCTATTCTCACATCTCCACGCAAATTCATTGGCCGTGGACTCGGTTCATCACAAATCAAATCACCCTCAATACAAGTCTACACCTCGAGAGAAAGCACACATGATTAGATCTTTTCAGCCGTAGATCTCTTTTCTAAGCTGAAAAGTCTAAGTCTTTTTATCAGAGGGGTAGCCGTGTTCGTCTGGATCTGCAAAAGAGACAAGGACTACATCTGGCACCTTATAGACTAACAGATGTATTGGAGCATAAGCTTTCGTGGGCAAGGACCCACTTCGTCAGATGCATGCAGTGGAAATTTCCATAGGCAGGTGTAAATATGCAGGCTATTCGCCCTCTCCACACCACTCATGATTTTATATACCTCTATCATATCCTCCCTCAGTCTCCTCTTTTCTAAGCTGTAAAGTTTAAGTCTTTTTAATCACTCTTTATATGGGACCTGTTCTAAACCCCTAATCATTTTTGTTGTCCTTTTCTGAACCTTTTCCAATGCCTGCCTGCCTGCCTACCCCCCCCTCTCTCTGT